TTTTTTTTTTTTTTTTTTTTTGCTTATAACCTTTAAATTTTGTCTTTCACAAATTAAATTGATTAAACTATTTTTAATATTCTACCCATAGTATATTGATAAAGACCATTTTTTAATTAAAAAAATTATAATTTTAATTTTCTCTTTGATTTTCAATCTCAAAAATAATAAAATCAAAATTTATCATATCTATTTAATTTACTTCTATATTTAAAAATTATTTCGTATCGCAAATAAACTTTAAATACAAGACTTAACTAGGAATAAAAGACCTGAAAAATCAAAGTCACCCATAATTTTAATTAAAATTATTAAAATTGCAATTAAATCTAAATATTTTCACTAGTGTTAAAATTGAGAAATGGATTGGAGATTTTATTTGATTCCAAAAAATATATATAATTACATGAATCCTTAATTTAAATATGAAATCGTTGAAACCTTACTTTAAATGAATCAATTCGATGAAATAAAATTACATGAGACAATGCCAATTTATAATTTAAAGGAATCTTTTATGAATCTTAATATTCAAGTACTGTCGATGAAAAAAATCACACTCAAGCAACAAGTCATCTTTATGAATACTTGATTGATTAGCTGCATTAAGCTCGCGGCATGCAGAAATAATAAATACATAACCAGCATACACATTATGGAGGAACTTATGATATGAAGCTAAACGCCATTCATTACTCTGCAGCATTCCCCAGCCAAAGTAAAACACATAATAGAAGGGGAGATATCAGAATAATAATCTACATAGCACAACAAAATATGGTTCTCTGCTGGCACAATTAGTTTCTAGAAGATCTTGTGTGATTGGGCAGTTGACGATTCATAATCCGGTTGTCAATAAAATGCTTTAACATGTGATGGAAATCAGCATACTGTGCGCCCGTAGCACAAACAGGCAAGGTAAAGGTTTTTTGACCATTTGTCCTGAACACAAGAACAAAAAATAAGAGAACCAATCTTCATAATTAACTATAGAAATTAACTAGTCATTCATCCTCCATTACCTTAACATGTTGGCTGGGAAATTGAGATGTTCGTAGAGTTTCCTGAGTTTCATCACTGAGCTTGCGCCTTGGAATACTTAATATTAGAGCAGATTGATCCGATGTAGCTGCAGTTGCTGTAATCCTAAAACCTTTATCCCAACGTTTATGGATGCCCTCACTTGGATAGAGAAAATCAAGTTCTACCACCTATAATTAGAAAGTTAATATGAGAACATGATGGAAGTCTAGTAACAGGCTTATATCCACCATTGCTAAACATACCGAAGAGGCAGGAAATTGCACTCAAAAGAATGCAGAAAAACTGTTTATGCCAATATGTCACATGAAGGAATACAATTTAACAGCAAACCTGTTTACTGAATCCAGCATTGCGAGACATAACAACACCCCAGCGACTTCCAGCAGTAGCCATTGAGGTGACATGAAAACCTTCTCTCCACTTTTTGTTTATCCATTTGAAGGGGAAAGATTCGCTTACTTTGTAGGATTGTTGAGTATACTGGGTACCTACAGAAATTAGATAATAAATCACAACAAAACCAGAGGTAACAGTTGCAGAACCATTATATGCAGCGGTCTTTTAAAAAGGTAAAATAACGGCAAGGGCACAATTGACACCAAACAAAACATGACTTATGATGCAAGTTAATTGGACCACGTTCAATTGCACTACTATCAACAAAGCATTTAGATATTTGTGGGAATTGTTTCAGGTACATAATGAGACTCTAGAAAATGCTGAATAACCTGATGTGTATAAAGGCTTAAATACAGCTGTGGAGAAAACATAACATATCAGAAATTATTTATAATGTGAAAGTAAAGGTACCAAAACTGCATCTAAGCCTGATATAAAAGCTCAAAAGTAAGGAGCCAAACCCATTTATACCCCAATAGTGAATATAATACTGTGGGACAAAGATTGCAACTCCTGAAAATCTTTCCAATGATATTGGTAACATGATTTATCAACCATGAAAAGTAATAAAAACAATTAACCATTTCATCACAAGCTGGCAAAAAGTGACTCGTTTAAAAATCAAACCTTTTGACATCACCACCAGAGAGCTGCCAGTATTGGACCCTGCAATAGAAGTAATGTAATAATTTTTATCCCACTGCTCCATGATCCATTCCTGCAAAGAAACAATCACATGGATAAGTTTAATCAGATAGAATTAGATTAAAGGAACCGCAAGACATGCAGCATACTTCACCTTGTGCAAGAAAAAAGGTGACAACTTGAAAACTTGAGCTGTAAAACCAGTTCCAGCATCCATAATAAGGGCCCAAAAATTGCCACAAGAAGACACACAACTAATAAGAAGGCCATCTGCAATCCCTCTCTCGACATGCTGTTCTAATCTTGAATCACACACATTGTAATGATACCTGGAAAGCAACCAATTTAAAAGTCACAAGCAACTCATGGGCATAACATACTCAAGTTCACCCTTGTATACTTTATTGCTGAATTGAAGGAAACCACTAAAAAGAGAAAACTGCTGTGTTTCTACCTTTGTTTCATTGGTAGTCTTGCATTGTATATTGAAATCCACTGTGTAGCAGGAACCCCTAGACGAACCTTCTTCTTTGGCTGTGAATCATCTTCCTCAATATTCAATCTACCCCGCTTTTGCCCAACCTGCCAAACTATGATTTTGAGTAGATGTACACTTCTGAAGTTATGATAAATACAAAGACCAACCAGAAAAGGAAAAATAAAAAATAAGCCACAAAAACAACTCCACAAAACCACATTTTAGCGATCACCTTTTGGGCACCATCAGTATTAATTGGCCGCAAAGCAGGATTGGGTCCAATCGTACCATCAAACAAAGATATTAGCTTGGAATAATTAGGTTCTTCATCAAATTTCATATTCACTACAATCTCAAGAAATTGCCTAAAAGGAGAAGGGCACAAGCAGCACAGCGTCTCAGGAGATGTTCCCATCTTCTTTTTGCAAACAAGGAAGGATTTGCTATCACCCTAAAACACAAGGTAATGTAAGATAGAAATAAAATATTTTAAGAATAAATTTGCACAGCAAAATACTTGGTATGCATGTAAAATAAATCCATGTACCTGATAACCTTGCCACGGTAATCGACCCTTATGAAGGAAGATGAGTGTGTATGCAAGAGATTCAAGATCATCCCTTCTACTAGCAGTTCTCCCCAAATGTGCATGAACACTAGCATAACGAACAGTCCCTCTACATAAAAAGACAAGGCTCATTAACATTGATAACCATATGCAAAAAAACCATTAAAAAAAGAGGACTGCAAGGGAAAAAAGAAAGGAAAAAGTGGGGAAATAGGGGAAAGAAAACCTAAACATATCAGGACGTTGATCATATTCAACATGCAGTCCACTGGAGGTGTCTCTCCATTTTGTTGCTGAGAAACATAGCATATTTTAAGAAGGGATTCATAAGAAACCTCAAATACACATTTAAACTTGAATTACATCAACAAACCCAATCCACTGTCAACAAATTTAGACTTTAAACTACATCAACTAACCTAATCCAAGATCAACAAGAAACAGTTTCTTCTCTTGCGCCGTAGCTGGTTGACCAAGTAAAAAGTTCTCTGGTTTTACATCACCGTGTACATAACTAAAATGAACAGCAGTAACAAAAAATAAGAAAGAGATCATGTTTATTGCCTAGAATTTAAAATAACTAAAACGGAATCAATTTGCGGACATTCTGAATGTCACTAAGTAGGAAGATGAAGAAATGTTTCAAACAAACATGTTTTGACTAACAACATACCCTTTTGAGTGCATCTTCTCGAGTATTGATAAGGACTCAACCGCTATACATGAGACCATTTCAGCAGACATCCTAGGCATTTATTAATAAAAAAAACAAAACTAACAGGTCAGGGTCAGAAAAAGGGAAAATCACTTATTCTAACATGATCTATTGCATATATTCAAACTAAGGGTGGACGAAAGATAAAGGAAAAACAATTCAATGAAGCAAAAAAGACCAAAAAGGTTAAGGTAACAGAGGTGGAAGTTGATGGCATAAATACTAGGTTGAAGCAAAAAAGAATACATCTTTAGACAAAATTCTTGCATACAGCAAATCAAACCATAAGAACTAAACCAAAAAAAATAGTACAACAGAACATATAGTCAAATACAACCATTTATGACTCACATTGTTTTGCGTTTCTTTATACAATATTCACTTAACTAAGTACTCAGAAGAGAATGAATTTGAATTCAGTCACCTTGTTTCAATGTGAACCTCACACAAGAAAGCCCCAAAACAAATAAAATCAGTATATTACAACCTTTGTTTTAATACACATGGCATAAACCCTATAAAAAAACATTAAGGCCAAGATAGATACAATCACACTTATACTCACGTCTGGCTTGAGGAATTCCAGAGATCCCACAAACTGGGACCAAGTATGTCCATAACCTGCACATAAAGGAAAATAGATGAATTGTTAAGTTGGCAATGATATAGTGCAATGGCTGCTGTGTAGAATAGATCATACCATCACATAATATTCTCCTTGTCTTCCTTTATAGTGTACTTTAGGTATTCCGTAACTACCCCCAAGAGTGCTTTTGACATAACATAAAAGTCAAACATTAACTATACATAGTTGTCACAAATCATGATAAATAAATTTGAATAAACAAGTAAAATAATATAAAAGTAAGAAAGTACCTACTTGTATACTTGCCACTCGTAAGGAGGGCCATAGGTACAGCCCTTACTGTTTCTATGTTCAAATTTCAGAGCCACCTGAGATATTATGTTAGATAGAAATCAACTTAAAGCCAAATTGTGGCAAAAGTATTAAACCATTCAACACATTAACACATAAAGCCCGGATGTAATAAGAGAAACTTGCCTCCATAGCTCCAGCACCTGTCACACGCTCCCTACGGCCAACAAAAACCTGACCAAATCCACCTTTACCCAGCTTCCTCTCTACCTTGTACATTGGTGATCCACCCACTTGAACCTTTGGCATTGAAAACAAATTCAAGTTCAGAATTTTATCAAAATAAATAATTCAATGAACAAGCAACAACAATACACCAAAAACTGCAAAAGACACCCATCTTGGTGACCACTAATATCGTATAAAAAAAATTACATAAAACAAAAAGGAGTAAACAAACAATTTCATCCTAAAAGACAAAAAAAAAAATGTGTTAATTTGTTTCGTGAAAATTTGTATGTGTACAATTTAGTCCCTATATTAATCAATCCCATGACAAAACGATTCATCTGCACCAACGTAGTCCTATGATATATTCCTCGAATATATGAACATTTGTAACAAATTTAGCCCCGAATTTGATCGAGCTGACAGAAGAAAGACCAAGTCGTTACGAGGTTGACAAATCGGAGACCAAACATTACATACATACGCAGACTTTTCACTTTTCAGGATCAAATCAGCTGCAACTTTCAGATACAAAAGTGCACTTACTAAACAAAACAAAAACACGGAATCACAATCACATACCCTATCTGGAAAAGGTGGAGCGTTGGCATCATCGTCACCCTTGTTAGCACTCACCCCACCACTTGCCATCACGCCCGCACCTCCTTTCTTATTCTCTTCCTTCACCGGCTCCGGTATCCGAATCGGTTTCAACGGCTCAGATATCGGGATCGGTATCAACGGCTCCACACGCTCCAATTCCTTCGCCGCCAATCTAGTCCTCGGTCTCCCCCTTGGAGCCGCAGCAGCACGAGCCTTCACGCTCTTCTTTGCCGGCTCCGATTCTTTCTGGCCACGGCCGCGGCCGCGTCGCACTCCGCTACGAAGCTCCGGCATTCTCTAAACCCATGCAATCGATTCGCAATTCCGATAACTTCCTTCGTCATATGCTCTACCGATTCATATCTGAAACCATTTTGCGATGGTGAATTTTGAAAATGAAAAAGAAGTTCGAAATAGATCACTGGTACAGTGGAACTCGATGTTTAAATTGAGGGGTGAGTATTAGGGTTAGGGTTTGATGTCTGAGCAAACTCGATAGAAGATTAACCGGGAAAGGGAAAGTGTCGCGGGAGGCAAGAAGAGCCTTACGCGGTCCAACGTGAAAACGAAAGTATATAAATTAATATATTTTAAATTTTATTTAATTTCATTTAGAAAAATTATAATTGTCATGTCAACCTTTTACCTATAATTTGACCCCATTGGTTGAACAAGTTCTGATAATATACACGTATTATTATTGATTTAACTTTATTAAAAATATTAAATTATGAATTAACTCGTTAAATAAATTTTATTGATGATTAAAAATTATTAGGATATTAAACAAGGGAGATGACTAACTAAATGAAAAATAAGACTTATAAAAAGAAATTAATTTGAGATAAATTTTAGTCAAAGTAAAAGTGAATTCAAAAGAGTGTGGAAATATATTTTTCTGACCTGTTGTTAAATGGCAGCATTTCAAGTTAGATTGTATATCAATTCACGCGGCATTATCTTAATCAAAGATAATATATAAAAAAAAATTAAATTATTTTTAAAACAACAATTATATTCTTATGTTTCATTTTATATCTTTTCACTAAATTATACTTAAAGATAAAATAGAAAAATATATAAAAGAATAACTACATCTTTAAAAATAATAATTATCTATTTTTAGAAAAAATACTAATTTATTTTATATTTTTTACAAAAGCACAGATGTCTTTTTTCTATTAGGCAGTAATAATAATAATAATAATATATCTATAATATTATATATAAAGAGATAACATTTTTTTTATTTTCACTTTTTTTAAGGCTCGTTTATCTTTAATTTATGTATATATGAACGTATCTTTCTTTAAAATATTTTTATTTTTATTTGTTATTCTAATCAAACAATTACCGTTCTTTCACTAAATAAAACTATCTTTGTTTTCTTTATAATAACTTCTATTGTTTTTTATTTTTTTAAAATAAATTAATCTTCTTACATATTGCCTAAATTATTTTACTGTATATAATAATAAATAAATAAATATTTTTTTTAGGGTTTAACGCCCCTAAAATAGAAAGATACACTTTAAAAAAAAAAATACACATATATTTGTTGATTAAAAAATCAACAATTTATGGTCATGAAAGAATTCAAAAAATATAATAATAAAATAAAATAAATAACGATCCAAATTATAAAATTTGGATCGCTTCCAATTAGATTAAAAAAATTATAAATTTAATAAGTCTATATCGAATTTTAGATTTTGATATTGAAAAAATAAATCAACTAATTAATTATTATATATTTTTATATTTTTTATAAATTTTATAATTTACCAATAAAAAAATATTTTAGAATTTGAATAAAAAAGTGAGTCAAACTTTTTATTCATTTTTAAAATGGTTAAGTGTATTTTTGATTTTTTAAGAATTAATAAATTTTGATTTTGGTCTCGATAATTTATTTATTTGTTATAAAATTATAACTATTATTTATAGTCTTTAATTTTTATATAATTATTTTTAATTACTTCTTGTTTATTAATAGGTTAAAATATTAAATGATCATCTAAATATTACTTATAATTGTTAGTAATATCATATTATTTAACACTTCTAAAAAATTGTATGAATTTTTTAAATAATTATCATTTATCTATTTTAAAATAATTATTAAAAACCAAAAATATTTTTTAAAATAATATACATATATATATATTACATATATCAAAACCAAATATATTCATTCATTTTATAATGAGTATAAATATATTCAAACCTTTTTAATATTATAATACTTCAACCAATATTTTATAATGTACACACAGTTCTATAATTTTTTATACATTTTATCAAAATCAAAATATATTCATTCATTTTATAATGACTACAAATATATTCAAATCTTTTTAATATTATAATACTTTAATCAATATTTTATAATGTACACATAGTTCTATAATTTTATACATTTAACCGTCTCAATTTGCTAGGAATAGAGATTATGTGTATTTCACTTTGGATTTTAATTCTGTAACTTTATATTTTTTTTTAATCTTTAAATGATAAACTTGATTATTTAATCCAAATAAATCCAATCGGTTTGATTTAGTTTGGTTTATAATTTTTTTTTATAAAAAAAATCAATTTAAATTGTTTCTATTATATTTAACTAAATTAGATATGAAAAAAAAATAGTGCAAATACAATCAAAACTTACACGTGACCACTCCTAATTAATATCTTAAATAATCTATATATATAATTTTTAACAATTTTAACTTTTTATAAAAACTGCATAATAATAATTAATAAAGATTATAAAAAGTCTTATGAAAGTTTTATACTTAAAATTATTATTTAAATACAATAACAACTCACAACCTCTTTAATTTAAAGGGAGATACTAAGAAATCGTGGAGTGTCTTCTTTTGTACTAACTTAACATAATAAATATATTTTCAATCAAGATTGAATGGTTGATTTAAAAATATACAGTTTAATGATAAAAAATCACAATTTTATGGATTAATGATTTAAAATCCTAAGAAAAACTTACTTTTAGATGATAATATTTTTTTATTATTATTTTTATTTGAAAATGTGAGGACAACTAACTACAATCAATAAAATATAATTTTATGAAATTAATATTATATTAAATAATTCTGAATAAAGATAAAATGTATCACGCTTTTAAATTCAAATATTCAAACAAAGTAAACTATTACAAAAATTGCACAAATAAGTTTGAATAAAATAAATTGAATTTTCTAGTGCATAAAACATAAAAGACATATTCTCAATAATCTCAATATCACATAAATTGCATAAATAAGTTTGAATAAAATAAATTGAATTTTCTGGTGCATAAAACATAAAAGACATATTCTCAATAATCTCAATATAACATGTATCAGAGGTTTCTCTTCCATCAACTAGACTCCTAAAAAAATGAAGTCTCCAATAAATACATATAAAACATCCACAAAAAGAAAATAGGGAGTGAGAACATATTTCATTCTCACTATCGATGTAGAATAAGGTTAAGTAGACACACACAAATAATGTATATATAAAACAATTAATCATATTTTCTCATCAATCCTTACATAGATAATAAGACAATAATTTAAACCACTCAACTCATTTTATACAGTGATTTAAAACTCGGATCGAACCGGCCGGTTGGACCGGGAACTGGTGGTCCAGCTGATTTGAATCTTAAGTTGGATCGATTATACAATTAACCCGTTTTAAACCGGATTGAACCGGTCAATTTTTCGGTTCAACCGGTGAACCGGTGGGTCAAACCGGTTCAACCACTTTTTTTTCTTATTTTTTTAAAAAAAAATTAAAGGAACCATGTACCGCCCCGCCGTGGCCGTCACACTACGAAACAACACTACATACTACTCGAAAATATACTAAAATAGTATAATAAATATTTACAACACAAGTTGCTAATCAAGCAACAAACAACTAGTTATATACAAGAAAATCTGCTACTATAAGGTGCCCTACAAAAAAAAATATATATATCCATCTTCAGGCACCTCCTGTGGCCTCTAACAGCTACTTCCCAGCCTATCCCTACCCTTCTCCCATATCACGTATGATCATCGCAGTCAAAACCACATGGAGACATGTAAGGGTAAGCTAGAGACAATAAACAACTCATAATAATTTAATATTCAACATAACAACTATATAATCATTTTCGCATTTGACACTTGAGACAAACAACATATATACATACTATACATCTAAAAAATTCATTTCAACTTACAACATAACAACACTATCGTCATCCTCAACAAGGTCAACATACAACACAATCACAGCTTAACAATACAACAACAAATATACAACTCATATTAACAACAAATCAACTCATCAACAACTTATGGGTCGTCACGCATTTTGACTCGGAGATCTCCTACAACATGGTAAGTAGTCTAAGTGGCTAGGTCCTACCGAACCGACAACACAACAAATTTGGATATCAATCCACAACACGATAATGGTTTCTCAGACTTTGTCACTTAAACAAAGAAATATAGTACTCGGTTAGGAACTAAGTTCCCGACTTCGTACTTACTCAAATTGGCCACTTGTAATCAATATAGGTCGACCTAACCCCTATACCGTGGTCGCTTTGTAATCGGTATAGCTCGACCTTGCCCCTGTACCGTGGTCGCTTTATAATCGGTATAGCTGACCTTGCCCCTATACCGTGGTCGCTTTATACACGTGTGCCTCGACCTTGCCCACACACGGGATCAACTAAGTCCTAGAGGAGAACAACACAACGACCACTCCAATGGACAACTTCCCAATGAGGGTTTTTCAACAAATTAGACTCTCAGAGCACCACAGCTATCTCAATCCACAATGGGATGAGCAACTTCGAAAAACATCTCCCCTAGTCCTAGTGATCAACAACTTATCATCACAGCTTAATCAGCTTACAAATCAACAACACAGATCAGCTCAACAACTTACGCAACACACAACTTGTCAACTCATCATCTCAATAAACTTTCAACTTGAACAACACAATCAACTCACAACTTTAACAACACAGTTTACTAGCACAACAACTCATCAACGCTGTTCAACAACACATTTTAACCACACAACATTTCATTTCAACTTTAAACAACACAATAAACTCAACAGCTTATTAGCTCAACTCATAATTTACAACTCAATTATCTTAAGATAATATATTTTCAACACATGGCACAACATACAAATTTTTAACAACATACAATTCTCATCTAACAACTTGACAACACAGTCTATTAATAACATCTCATCATATTTCACAACATAAACATGTCCACACATATAGCAACCTTATCAACTTAATTCCAACTAGTTTCAACAATATCCTAGATCAACACATAACTTGTAAACAACTTCACAACTTAACTACAACATGCATCTCATTTACATCTCATTTTCATCATGAAAGCATCACCAACAACATCATTAATAAATATTTAATCATGTACTAGCAACACACAAAATTTTCATCACATAACACAACTCATACTACATATTTACAACCCATATATCATGCCAACTTAAATACCCAAATGATA